AGGGTAGACCAGTGAATGTTGTTGCTTGCAAGTTTAGCACAAATTGAATAACCTTAAAAAGATATTGTAATAAAAAGAAGCTCAACCCAAATGAATCTTTTAAGCCTAATTACAACAATAAACAAGTTTTTACTGCAGAAGATGAAAAAAGTTTGTCAAGTTATTTACTACTTGCATCAAAAATGAACTATGGACTTTCAACTAAGTCAACACGATTATTGGCATACGAGTTTGCTGTAAAAAATAATAAGATTTGCCCTTCATCATGGATCAAGAATAAAATTGCAGGGATTGATTAGTTGCAAGGTTTTATGAAAAGACAACCAGAGTTGTCTTTACGAACACCTAAAGCAACTAGCTTTGCTCGATCAACTGCCTTTTACCGACACACTGTTAAAGAATTTTTCCAAAATCTAAAAACAGTAAGAAATCGATATAAGTTTGATCCTTATTGCATATATAATTTTGATGAAACTGGCTTAACAACAGTACAAAAGCCAGTAAAAGTGTTAGCAGGTAAAGGAAGTAAACAAGTAGGAAGAATCACATCTGCAGAACGAGGAACATTAGTAACTGTATGTTGTGCTTCAAATGCAATTGGAAACTCTATTCCTCCACTATTTGTTTTTCTTAGGGTCAAATTTCATGATTACATGATAAAGGAAGGTACTCCTGGATGCGTGGGATTTGCAAATCCTTCTGGTTGGATGAATTCAGACATTTTTATAGAATGGATAAAACATTTTGTGAGGTATTCAAACTGTTCTCATGAATCTCCAGTTTTGTTACTTCTGGACAGCCATAAAAGTCATATTTCTGTTAGAGCTTTGGATCTTGCAATTCAACATGGAATTACAATGCTAAGTTTTCCTCCCCATTGTACCCATAAATAGAACTGTTTTTGGACCATTGAAAAGGTTTTACAATGCTGCGTGTGATAATTGGATGGTCACAAATCCAAGACCTATGACCATTTATGATATTGTTTCAATAGTTCGCAAACCATATACAAAAGCTTTCTCACCATCTAATATACAGAGAGGATTTCAAGTAGCTGGCATTGAGCCATTTAATCCAGAAATTTTTAAAGATAATGAATATTTACCATCATCAGTTACAAATCGTGCTGCTCCAAATGTAGTAAACACAATTCTTGTGGAACCTGAAATTACTGTAGCACATGTTGATGGCATGGAGCCTGAAATGCCTGTAGTACATCATGAAACAAGTTTTTCGAACAAAGTGTCACCAAGCATTGCTTCATTAATCTCACCTGAAGTTTTGAAACCTTACCCGAAAGCATCTGCTAGAAAAAGAAGTGTTAAAAGTAGACAATTAAAAACAAGGATTTTGACTGATACTCCAATCAGAAATGAACTTCGTTTGTCAGAAGAAAAGAAAACCCTAAAACAAATCAACCAACAAAAGAAACTCATCGCAAAAGATAAAAAAAGGGGAGAAGTTAAAAACTACTTGCTAAGGAACAAAAAACAATCTAATGTAAAAGCAGCATCACGACTTGACTTTGACAAAGGATGATAATATAAAAAAATAATCTTGTAAACTTTAGTTTACAAGATTATTTTTTTATATTTCTAATAAAAGTCTTGTATGAATCTTGTATTTTTTTTCTAAACTTAAAATACTGTATTCTTATAGACTTTATAAGCTTCAAGTTTTGTAAAACTTAACACATATAAATGTTAGTAGTATATAACGGGCTTATTTTCATAGATAGAATTGTGGTTATTCTTCTAATGTAGACTTTATACACTAGTGTGTATTAGGTTGTAATGATATGTATGTATATATATATATATATATATATATATATATATATATATATATATATATATATATATATATATATATATATATATATATATATATATATATATATATATATATATATATATATATATATATATATATATATATATATATATATATATATATATATATATATATATATATATATATATATATAAACATTGAGCACTCTTTTTGTAGAATACATTTTAAATTGTTTAAATATATATATATATATATATATATATATATATATATATATATATATATATAATATATATATATATATATATATATATATATATATATATATATGTTTTAAATTTTACTTTTTTTTTTAGATGTATTATATAATATACACTAATACCCTTCAACTAATGCATTTGTAGCACTTAGGTATAGCAGTATTAAACATGTAAATAATGTTACTCATATAAGATCAAAGCGCCCCATATCGTAGATCATAGTACCCCATTGCATGGGGTACATTGATCTTTTGCAAGGGTTGTTGTAATGTTCAAATATACCATGTTCATTAATGTTTTTTATTAAAACATTTATTTTTACTTAAAGACAGATTGTTCTAGTTTAGTTTAGTAATTAATAAGTTTTTATATGTAGATTGGGTTGTTTGCAGTTTTCAAAATACTGCAACGGCGATCAATGCGCCCCCATCTCCCCTACTTATTCTTTCACATTTGTTTCGTGTACACGCTTTAATACATTAACTAAATGAATATAACAATAAAATTTATGTTTTTTAGATATATAAATAAATAGTAATATGGAAATTAACAATAAACAATGCAGAAGGACAAGCTGTAAAAAATGAAAACTTGAAGATATGAAAAATGTGGTAGAAAATTCAAGGAGACCATTGTATTAATTGACTAGGCCTATTTTAGAGCTTCCCAAATACCAGTTGCCTACAAATAGTGACATTTTAAAAAGATAATTGTTTCCACAAAGCAATTAAGGTTTAAGTCAACAAAATCAAATATTAGTTGCTCTATGGATAAAGGAGTGTAAAATGTCAACTCCATGGTACAAAATGTGAGACAGGTAATAAAGATTGTCTTGCCAAAGAGTAGTAAATATCTGGTGCAAAACAAATTCTTAATGAAAAGTTAAACCATTAGAAATAATATTATAAACCTCAACAAAATGGAGAATGCAAATTAAGCTTAAAAAGTAAGTCTTTTTTAATATATTTACTATTAAATTTTTTTTTTTTTTAAACCGTCAACCTCTTTTAAAGTTGTAAATGTATAAATTGTGTCCTTTTTTTCATATTAGATTGAACTTCTCTTCAAAGAAAGTCTTTTGATTCTCGAAACCGATTATAAAATCATGTTGTAATAAAAATCAAAGCTGATTGCAACAAATCACCTGATGCCATTTAAGAGGACATTGAATTCTTAAATGACCTAAAGTCAACTAGAAAAATGTATATAACTGAGGATATTAACATGATTTACCGAAAGAGAGTTGAACGAAGGACTGAGTTAGACAAAAAAACTTGAAATATTCCTAGAGGATAAAAATTTATTTGAAAATCATATTGTCTCCGATTCTGATACAGAATAAATAAATTTTGAGTAAAATTCATCTAATGATTCATTTTTCGATGTATCTAGTGAAAAAGATAAAGATTTCTCTGTGCCGTTAACAAGAAAAAAAAGGATCTGATGAGCTGCACTCGTCAATATCAGGGGACAGATAAATAAAAGCGACAAGTGAAGTTGTTACAAGATTTTATCTTGGTGTAAGGGGTTATAAAACTATTCTTCTCTTAATTCTAAAGCATACAGGTTATAATTTGAAAGATATTGTTTTGTCAATATCAGGAACCCATGGATAAAGATTTCTTATGATCGAAAACAAAATGGGAAGAAATTAGAAATATTCATAAAAATGTTTTAACCGGTAATAAACTCTTGCTTCACTTCGATAGTAAATTGTGTAATGAATGGAATATGTTTCACGTTTTATTACAATAAAAAAGAACTTTTTTATTGTAATAAAACTCTTAAACATAAAAGGTTTTATTTGAATGACACGACATAAAACCTGGCGGTCTCGTTGGCCCAGATTTTGAAATAAATCCTTCAAAAACTTTCAATTTCTGTAATATCGGCCAGCATATCGGCCAGTTATGTTATAACTGGCCGATATGCTGGCACATAAAAGAGAACCACTTCTAACTAACTAAATTTTTTATGCGAAAACAACTAATTTCCCCTCTTATCGTTGGTATAAACACTCAACTTTTACGCTTTGTTTTGGAGCAAAATTCTAAACAATTCAATTTTGCCCTACTCAATTTTCTACCAAGTATAAACTTCATGAATTTATTTCTGAAATTGACTCACTTCAATTGTAACAACTTTAAGATGACACAATTCAATAAAAAAAAAAAACTCATATATATTTATATAAAAATAATGATGTTGGCAATGTTATTAAAATGTTATTAAGATGTTACCAATGTTAATAAGATGTTATTAAGTCTTATTAACATCTTAATTTAAGATGTTACCAAAGTTATTTAAAAAATTTTCTCGCTTAAGGTGGTAGAGCACAATTAAAATACAAAATTTTGATCAAAATATGAAAAAATTTTGTTTTAGTTTATTTTATTCAAAATTTTATCCTCTTTCTTTTGATGTATGTATGGAACAGAAATTGTTTTTTGAAATGTGATAAAAATCTACATTTGCAATATTTTTTACCTTAGCAACGCCCTAGCAACCACAAACATATCTTCTTTTATTATATATGTTGAACAAAATTGCAAGCTAATTTGTCTTTTTGTTATGTCTATCATGCTTAAAATTGTTTGTTTATCAACTTTGCTTTTAAACAAATTCGAATGTTGAGAGTTTTGCTGGGTTAGCAATATATAGTAGAAGTCAAAAGTACGCCTCGTTTTCAAAATTGAAACGGATGCCGTAAATTATCGTTCACCCTCCCGGAGTTGTTACATATTATTATAAAGAATCGACTACAATTACTTTTTTTATCCTTTAATGTAATTAAATGCGCAATTTTTAATATAAGTACTTATAAATCTGGAAAAAACACACACTTAAAATTTAAATTTTACTGTGTAAATAAAATATGCATTGCATATTTTTTTTTCTTAGTGAGGAAACGATGGATGTGGTTTTCAGAATGTCACTTAGGTAGCGATTCCACGGCTAAGCGAAAAACATTTGACGTTTGACAAAAAACACGAAATTTTCATGAAGTTTGCTCTCTTATATCTTTTTGTATAGGAAAGCAAGCAACCTCAGGTTTTTTGCATCAATTAGTGTTACTCAACCTCTTTTCAGCCATATATGAAAAGTACTATGTTTTATATGGCTTCAGTTAAATATTATCCATATCTTGAGACCACTTTTGAGAAAAAATCTTGAAGCGGGAACGTTTTTTTAAAACGAAGCTTTTGGAGGTAAGGATTCCGAAGTACCAAAACAAATCCAATTTTTATAAAACTTTCCGTATATATTAAAAAAAGGTTGAGGAATCTAATGGAATGTGAACACTTTTTAACATTTATACATAAATTTTTAGTTCTCAGTGTTTAAAAACTTCAAGGTTAATTATTATAGAAAAAAAAGTGATTTTTGAAAGTGTTCAAGTGGAAATGGCAAATTCAGCCTTTCCTCTTTTTAAAACAAGTGTTTAATTATGTTTTCTTAAAAAATAGGTGCTTCGGATTTGTATATTAGAATTCTGTATATATACATCTATATTTCTTCGCGTATTTTATGACGTTTTTTGTTTTGATTTTGCAATTCCGAAATTTTAACCACAAATAAAATTGAAAATGAAAGTATATTTCTTATTAATGACTTAAGTTTTCAAGGCAATAAAAATAAAGATTTTATATTTTTAAAGGTATTTTTTCTGGATTGCTCAACTACAAGCTTGATTCTCACTGTTTCTACTACTGTTTTTAGTCTGTAGATTCTTTAAACTGTTTTTTTCAAAACAAAAAGAAATAATAATCAACTAAACTTTTAGTCTAAAGTTTACAAAATGGAAATGTGTAAGAATGTTATCATTTTTTTTTTCTTTTTTTTTTATATTTTTTATTGGCTAAGTAAAACAACCAATGAACTTTAATTTCAAATTCAAATTCTTTTCTTTAGGCTGTGAACTTAACAATCTACGTGAAATGGTGGTTCAATCTATAAGTCAAGAATGTAAGTCATACTTTGATTGACTTTTGAAATTTTTAAATCCGGAAAAATGTATAACAAACATTTTATATTTCAATAATTTTATTTATAGAATCTTAAGCTTGATGATCTACCTTTATTTTATTTTCACAAAGCTAGATATTATCAAACTTCAACTCTTTGATTAACAATAGATTTATTGTAATCACTCAAATTAAATTTAATATTAATTTTAGCTACCAAAGTGTTGTCTGAAATAGCAACCTGCAAGAATATTTTGGATTTTCTGGATATAAATGATGGCATTATTTCTCTCAAATATCCTGATTTTGTGTTAACCAATAGCCATTTTCTACAAATTTGCAAAGACAAAAATAAACATAACATAACATTAAAAAATCTTTCATTATTTTTTACAACCTACTGTAAGTATAATATCTCTAGAGTGATGCTTATAAGGATCTTAAAAAAGTTAAAAGGTTACATTGTAAAATTAAATCGAGCCAAAAATTTGGACTTTAAAAAACATTTTTTAAGCTCTGCTTTATCTTTTAATAGTGCTTTTTCTGATGTTGTTGGTTTGTTACCTTCTGATGCTTGTTCTACCCCTACTTCTATCTACAATAGTGAAATTGTTCCAAATCAAGTTACTGTTTTTGTATCTTCTGATTTAAATTTACAAATTACTAATGATGAATTGTCGTGTCCTGTTACCCCAACTTCTATTATATACATCCCTTTAGAAAATAGGTCTGAAAAATTTCTTACTGAAACACGTTTTAGTGAAGAGAATCTTCCAGTTTCCAATTTAGATAAAAAACTACCTTTATTTTCTGGTGATTTGACCTATCAAATAAAAAGATACAAACGGAGAACTAATTACCTTAAATTGCAAAATAGACAAGTTAATAGAAGATGTTATGAATATAAAAGAAAATATCAAGCAATCTTGTCAAAATATAATGTTCGAAATGTCAACAAAAGAGACGTTAGAAAAGATTGTAGGATTAACCAATTGTTGCAAATAAATTTAAGATTAGAAAAAGAAATTGATTTGGCTAGAAAGCGTTCCCAATCAGATCGACAAAAGGCTTGGTATTTAAAGAAAAAAATTGAAAACACTATTTTGAAAACATCTGATGAAACAAATGATTCATTCTTAAAGGAGAGTTTGAATTACTTTGAAAATCTTACAGAAGAGCTGAAGGAAAGAGTTGACATTTTTGAAAAAAATGTTATTGACGTTTATGAAGGAGGTAGATATAATGATGAAATTCGCTCGGTATATTACGACCTTTTAAGTAAAAATGTTTCTGTTAATAATGTTGAATCTGTTATCAGAACTGTACTACAAAAAATGGCTGGAATTTCATGTGGCACACTTTCAAAAAAATCTTTGACTTCTGAATTTTTTAGTGAAATGAACCTTTTAGCAAAAGCTCAAGTGAGAGAGGCTATGTTGAATAGTACAAACAATGTTCTTCATACAGATGGCACAAAATATAATTTTAGAGAGGTTGGTAGTTTTCAAGTCACAACATCATCTGGTAGCTACACGTTTGGGATAGAAGATATGTTTTCGGGAGAGGCACAATCTTATTTTGGAGAGCTAAAAAACTTACTCACTGATATGTCTAAGATATTTTCTCCTGACAAGGAAAACTACGAGAATGATCTTAGGAAACTTATATTTTCTTTCAAATCTTTGATGACAGATCGCACTATCGTTAATTCAAGTTTTTTTCACCAATTTAAACATTGGAGAGAAGCAATTTTGCCTTTTGTTGTTGAAAACTATGATCAGCTTCCTTTAAATGAAAAATTAAAAATTTCTCAAATGCATCATGTTTTTTGTGGCTTACACGTTATCCACAATCTAGGAATATATGCAGAAAAAGCAATAATAGAATGGGAAAAAGTGGTTGAGCAGGAAGGTAGTATTCATGGTGGTTTTAAAAGTTCTCAAAACTCTCGCACCTTTGATATTTTGTATGAACTTTCAAAACTTACAAGCTATCGGCATGGTGATCAGCGAAATGGAAAAGCTGATGAATGGAAAGCATTTTTGCGTAAAAGGTTTTCAAAAAATTATATGGTTTCATTTCTGCATCATCGCTTTAATATTATATTTGTACTTGGTGGAGCAACGTATTATCATAAAGACCACCTTAAAGAATTTGTTTTCAATCTTGGTGGTTCAAATTTTCTTCATGAGTCAATTAGGCATGATATTGACAACATCATTTTTCATGCTTCAACTAGAGCTCTGGGAATTTTTAATAAATTGATATCAGGACCTCTTTTTCGTATTATTGAAGAGGAGGGTCATATTTTCTCTTTAAATACCATTTGGTTGCAAATGTTCAATTATTTTGTTTCTTGTTCTTCTGATGCATCAAAAATGTTAAGTGGTTCTACATTTTTTGATGTAAAATATCTCACCAAGGATGAAGTGTTTGATCATTTATTTTCTAATTGTAATGACCTACTTTTGGATGCCTTAACACAAGAATGTCTTGAAGTTATATGTTGCACATGTTCGGTTATGATTCAGAGTCAGTTAAGAGACCAATTGCCTGGAGGAAAATATTACAATCCGGGTGATGATGTGCTTGAAGAAACTCAAAACTGCCCACGTACTAATGTTGTGTCTGAACGTGACTTTGCTTCCTATGACCGCAGGTTAAAAATGAAACCTAACATGACAACAGTAGCTGCAGCTGGTGTGATCATGTTTAACAACAACAAAACAGCTGATTGGATAGATGGAAAATCACAGGAAGAAATTGAAAGGCTAGTTATATTAGCAAGGCGAAATAGAAAAGGGTATATAAGAAAGTACAGAGAGAAAAAAGCAAATATATTGCAGTACAAAATTGATGAGATGGACAAGCGCAACTTAGAAAAGGAAATAAAGGAACAAAAGGCAAGCGAAGAGAAAGAGTTTTTGACAACAGAAATCGGAAAGGATGGTGGTTTAATTTTGTGTGAAGAGGATTTTGAAAAAATTTTAGGAACTGAAAATGAAATTGTAATGAAGTTGCAAAGACAAATTAAATTTCGAAAAAAAGTATTACAGCAAAAATTTCCAGAAAAGTGGTTACAATTAGGAGAAAAGGCAAAAGGGGAGTATTACAAAAAATTTGGTATTGATAAATTAAAAACCAATCTAATATCAATTTTTAAATTTTTAAAAGAAGTTCCTGAACAACGCGCAACTGCAATAAAATGTTCAGTTATCAGACAGATTAATGAAAGACAAGAAATGTTGTTAACATTAAAAAAAAAGTCAGATTAGAGGGTGACGCTAGGTTAATTATGGAAACTGGAAGTAAAATAAGAACAGGCACATCAAAGGGAGGGGTTCCAAAGTTTTTAGGAAAAAGAATAAAACATAAAATGGTAGATAATGATGGCAAGGATGTATGGTATTCAGGGCTCGTGGTTAGTGTTCTAGACGACAATGAATTTGATGAAGAGTGTGAGTTTCAGATACTATATGATGGATATGAAGATAAGTATGATATTGAGTTGGTCAAAGAGTGAAGGATGAAATGTGTTGTGGTAGAGGGAAAAGCTGATGGTTATGTGGAGGGTGAAGTTTGTAAAAAACAAAAATGCAGTTAATATCATTTTTGACACAATTGGGATTTAATTTATTGTATTTATGTTTGTTATTATTCTTATTATTAATAATATTATTGTTATTATTATTTTTATTGTCATTCAATTTAATGTGTTCTTGTTTGTGTTCTGTTTGGTCATCTGGAGCGGTGTTGGCGCACCGACAATTCTTTATATGTATATTTGTTTTCTATTGGACATCTGCCGTCATGGTGACATACCCGTAAGTCATGCTTTCTATTTTTGTGCTGACATACCTGTCAATACATGTATCCTTGTGTTTACATTTTTTTGTGTTTGGATGTATGCAGGTGTGTCTGCAATTATTTGCATGTTTGTTTTTACTCACTTGTTAGTCACTATATGCATGTTTGTGTTTATGTATCTGTTAGTCATTATGTGTATGTTTGTGTTCTGTTGGACCTCTGAAGTGGTGTTGATGCACATGTAAGTCACTATATGTATGTTTGTGTTTATGTACCTGTTACTCATTATGTGTATGTTTGTGTTCTGTTGGACCTCTGGAGCGGTGTTGGCGCACCCGTAAGTCACTATATGTATGTTTGTGTATATGTATCTGTTAGTCATTATGTGTATGTTTGTGTTCTGTCAAACCTCTGGAGCGGTGTTGACACACCCGTAAGTCACTATATGTATGTTTGTGTTTATATACCTGTTACTCATTATGTGTATGTTTGTGTTCTGTTGGACCTCTGGAGCGGTGTTAACACACCCGTAAGTCACTATATGTATGTTTGTGTTTATGTACCTATCAGTCATTATGTGTATGTTTGTGTTCTGTTGGACCTCTGGAGCGGTGCTGACCCACCCGTAAGTCATTATATGTATGTTTGTATTTATGTAGTCATTATGCGTATCTTTGTGTTTATCTACCTGTAAGTCATTATATGTATCTTACTCTTTTGTTGGAACTGTGGAATGACTATAATTTCATTTGATAATGCAGGTTAGTCATTTTGATCAAGTTTTTATTTTATTTTATTTATGTTTGTGTCTGTTGGTCTTGTGGCACAGCGTTGAAACAACAGTAAGTCATTGTATGTATATTTGTGAGTTGTTCCAACTAGGCTGCAAGCAATCATTGTAGGAGTTGGAAGTTACTGGAAGAGAAAAGATGAAGTTTGTAGAGTAAGATAATAATTGACAGATGACTTAAAAGATTGCAATTTATATGAAACAGGGAAGCAAGATAAAGGAAGCAAATTCCAAAGAACTGATGTTCGAGGAAAAAAATAGAAGAATAAGAGTTTTTGGAGCACTTAGAAACAGTCACAAGAGAATGAATTTTAGTAGATAAACAAGGGACTCTAGCTATTTAGAGCAGTGCCCATATTTGTAGAAAAGAGAAAGAGAAGCACCATTACAATGATGTGATAATGGTTGGAGGTTGGCTGCAAGAGCAGGTCTAACTATGTTTACAATGCATTTTTGCTCCTTGTCTAAAAGAGAAAGGACGTCATTAGAATATCTGCCCCAGCGTTTTTTGCAGCGTTTAGTGCCACAGGGTCTGTGTGTTTTGTGATTGTGATGTTATTGTTGTGATGTTTTGTGTTGATAGACAGCTTGGCTTACCTTCTCGCTGGTGTCTATTGTTAAAAATGATTATTAGGTTGTTTCGTTACTGAAACTACTTCTAATCATTCACTAAAAGCCAAGAGATAAATTTTAGACAAACAATATTTTTTGTTTTAATGTTGTTTTCATTTTTTCATCTTAGGTGTTGTCGATAGTTCACAAATCTCAAAAAATAAGTTTCTTATTTTATATTTATTTAGTTTTAATTGTTAATTTATAACTTTTTTTAATTTTTAATTTTTAAAATGAATTAACAAATATTTTTTTTAAATTATTGTGTATCTAGTGTTATTTGATGTATTATTGTATGTATTTAGATGTATTGTTTTTAATAATAATTTTATTACAATTTTAGGTAGAGTTCAAATTTGAACTTTAGTTTTATTAAAGAATCTTTTGTCTGTTAAATAGGTAATTCTGAATGATTTATTCCTATGCCCTTATGCAGTGATTTACTAATCGGTTTGTAAATAAAGCAAAAGTTTTAAACAGATGAATTAATTGGATTCCACAATCCTTTATGCATATAGCATGAAGTTTTATAATATAACCTAAATTTTTTTCTAAAAGATTTAAATCTAAATTCATTTTTAAAAGACTAGGTAAATAAATAAAAACATTTCAGTCTGTAAAATTAACAATTCTGGATAATTTTGACAAATGCAAAAAAAATTATGGCAATTAATTTTCTTATAGTATATAAGAAAATTAAATGCCATAATTTTTTTTGTATCTCTATCAAAAACTTCAATTTCAAATTTCTTCAGTCTGTAAAATAGACGATTCTGTATGATCCCAACAGATTCAATAAAAACTGGCACACTATTTAAAATTTCAAGTCAAATATAATAACTGTTCAAATATATCAAATATATTTAAGGTCCATATGCCCAATTGGTTTGTACATCCCTTTTTCTGTAATTTAATGACCGGTCTGTAATTTATGCAATAATTTTACTGACAGGTCTGAAAATTATTTTTTGGATTCCATGATTCCTTTATGCATATTTGCATAAATCAACCATAATTTTTTTCATCATAACACAGTTAAACAAGTAGAAACCCTTCAGTCTGTAAAATAAACAATTCTGAATAATCCCGACAGATTTAATAAAAACTGGATCACTAATTAAAATTTCAAGTCAAATGTAATAACGGTTCAAAAATATCAAAATTTATAAAAAAATTACAAATTATTTAAAGTTGACATGTTTAATTTGTTTGAACAGCCCATTTTCAGCAGTTTACTGACCGAAAAGTAATTTATATGATTATTTTACTGACCGGTCTGTAAATTACGCAATAGTTTTCAAATGTTTTATTTTTTGGATTCCATGATTCTTTTATGCATATTCACATGGTATAATTATAATATCACCCCAAGTTTTATTCTCCAAAACTAAGAAAATAATGTAAAACCCTTCAGCTGTAAAATAGATGATTCTGGACAATCGCAACAGATTTTTTAAAATAAAATTTTGGTTTTTTATTTTCTTATAGTTTTTTGATTACTATCAAAAATTTCAAGTCAAAAGTAATAACCATTCAAAAGTTATTCAATAGTCAGTATGACCCCAAAAATATAGTAATTAGTAAAAACTCTCAGTCTGTAAAATAGGTGATCCTGGTAGATCCTGACAGATTTTTAAAAAAAAAATTTTGGTTTTTTATTTTCTTATAGTTGTTGGATTGCTATAGAATATTTCAATTCAAATGTAATAACGATTCAAAAGTTATTAAAAAGTCAGTATGACCCTAAAAATGTATAAATTAGTAAAAATTCTGGTCTGTAAAATAGATAAATTCTGGTCAATCCTGACAGATTTCTAAAAAAAATAATTTGGAATTTTATTTTCTTATAGTTAATTGGTCACTATGTAAAATTTCAAGTCAAATGTATCATTGGTTCAAAAGTTATTCAAATGTCAATAATACTTTCATTTTCGGTGCCATTTCGCAGTAAATTTTCCATACTTAAGCCCTATACCTTTTGTCAAAAAATTACCCGTTTTTTCACTACAAAAAGGTCAATAACTTTTGATCCGCTTAACTTCAAAGGCCAAATGACCCCTCATTTTTTAAGTCAAACCAAGCTCTATACAATGACATCAATTATATTTGAATATTTTAATTATAAAAAAATCGTCTGGAATGGCTAACTTAGGCAGAGTTATCATAAGGTTGTCACAAGGCCAAAAGTAGTTATCACAGAGTTGTCACAAGGCCAAAAGTAGCAAGGCCAAGGCCACAATTTACAAGACCAAGGATAAGGCCAAGGCCAAAATTTTTGAGGTCAAGGCCAAGATTAGGAATTTCAAGGCCGAGACGTACCCAAGGTTTTTTAGGACTTCAATTTTTGCTTAGCGTTAAGGCCAATTCTTCACAAAACTGTAACTTGTATTTAATATTTTCAAGACCAAGGCCAACAGTTTCAAGGCCAAAGCCTAAATTCAGAGTTGTTAGTACTTGGTTAAGGCCAAGTACTAACAACTCTGCACTGAAGTGACATTCTAAAACCATATCTATCTTAAAACTAAATTTCAGTTTAGTACCCAAAGTCTGGGGTACTAAACTTTAGTCTCTTAAATCTCTCAATTCGCAAGAGATCTCTTGTATCTCAAAGGTGATGGTAGATATATAAAAACTTGCAAATATAGCGATACAAATGACATTAAAAAGCTGAAGTTAAACAAAAATTTCTTTACTATTTCCACTTTAAGTATTCATTTTTTATTTAAACTTGTCCCAATAAGTGGCAGTATAATAAGATATATGTGTATTTATATACATATATATATATATATATATATATATATATATATATATATATATATATATATATATATATATATATATATATATATATATATAAATATATAAAGATATAAAGAGAGAGAGAGAGAGAGAGAGAGAGAGAGAGATACATAGATAGATAGATAGATAGATAGATAGAAAGATAGCTGTGGCTATTGGTCAATTTATGATAAGTGCCAATATGACAGATTGCTGGAGAAAAAATTGAATATTTGATTTGTTGCCATACATTGGGTAATAATAAAAGTTAATTTTGTATTAACTATAGATATTTCTGTATAAACTGCATCAGTCGTAGTTTGACCAAATAGAAAATCTAATGAAATATAACAATACTGCATACTTATCTCAAAATCAAAAAAACCAATATTGAGATATTTTTTAATAAATTTTTTTTTATAGATTTACTCCTATTTGTTAAAATATATTTATTTTTACAATAATTTCAAGGGGATATTGATACCCTCATAATCGTTATTTATTATAGTAATGAAAAACTGTTATAATAAACATTAAATTATGTATATGTGTATTTTAATATGTCGATAAATTAAACAATATTCCACTATTATTTAAAAAGTTCTGAAAATTAGACTTTTTTTAAATAGATTTAAAGAAAAAACCCCACAAAATTTATTGGTCTACTTATTCCATTGAGTTTTCTGGTATACCATTCATGATGATTGGCACAAAAATTTTTTGATTGCCATCATGGATATGATAGAAACTTAGGTAGGAAAGAATACAACAAACAAAACAGAAAAGCATTAGTGAGTTAATTGTATTTAAAGCAATAAATAATTTTTTTTTATGACATACAAAAATTTCATTTTAAAATTAACAAAAAAAATTTTTTTTTTTCTAAATTTGAGTTTAAAAAATCTTTTTATAGAACATTGATCATGATTGCAGAAGAAAATATGCTAGAATACAGAATTGTAAGAAATTTGATTGCCCAGCTCAACTTATCATAACAGAATACTTAGAATTTCCAGAATATAAAGTAAGTAGGAGGTTTTAATGTTTGTAAACCTACCTCCTGATTAAGATGTTAAAGTAATCTTTTAAAAAAATGTTTCTGGTCAGGTCAGATTTCATTGCAACTTTTATTATTTTTTCAAAATAGTATAGGCATGTTTATACTTGCTATAACTGTTTAAAAAAAGATTATAATCAATGTATTAATAAATCTATTTATATGTGTATGTAGGCATTATTTATGTCTTTTGTTTATGCTACTCTGTTATTTTTAGCTTATATTGGATACTGTCAGAAATAGAAAAGCAAAATCAAAAGAGCTACGATATGCGATAATGTTATCTAAGAAAAAAATCTATCAAATCAGAAAATTTTGTGTTGCAGTACCAGATATTTCAGCACACAATGGTCATATAATTACCAAGGTATTTTAAGTTTAATCTATTAATTTGTTTAGATCTTATCCATGTTTATATTCTTTTGTGTGTATATTATATGAAAATACATTTATACTTAAAAATTTCTATAAGGATGCTGGTATAACTCAGAGAATTGACCCTGAACTGGTATCTGCTATTGACATGTATGTTAAAGAAGATGTATTGAGCACAAAAGAAATGAAGCGCTTATTAAAAATCCAAGTGAAAAACAGTTTCAGTAAAGTCGGTCATGTTCTACCAGAATTCTCAAATAAAAGATTTTATCCCCGTAATTCCACTATCCACAATCACATAACAATTTCTAGACGAAAATTAAGTAAATCTCTTATTGATCAAGAATGTCTTCAGTCAAAAATTAAGGAATGGAGAGCATTAGATCCTACTATAAGTATATTCTTTAGACCTAAAGGTTTGTTGTTTTGTTTTTTTATATTTATTTAGGTGCCACAAGAAGTCCTTATTGTCTTATCACAGAGCATGGCGGATGAGCATTTATTCGCGCCTCCTTTCTAACCGATGTCGCAAAACTTGCCCAGAGATGGGGTTTGAACCATGGATCCTTTGTTTCTGAGGCAAGTGCGCTACCACTGCACCACAGCTGATCAATTATTGTTATTACTACAGTTTTCTTAAAAATAGTTTCTGCTTTGCTTTTAGTAAAACAATTTTTTTTGATTTTAGGGCATTTTGAAAAAGACCTTACTGTAGACAGTGACCATGAAGATGATAATGTGAAACTAACAGGTGCAAGTGAAACCTCTTTGCTCTTTGTCTATCAAAATAAATGGCAGAAGAGGCTGTTAGCTAAATATGGTAATGAACTAGTTTTATTGGATGCAACATATCGTACCACACGTTATGCATTGCCGCTTTTCTTTTTTGTGGTAAAAACCAATATTGATTATCAAGTGGTTGGATTATTTGTATGTGAAAACGAAACTGAGGATTCAATCAGTGAGGCTCTTTTGTATATTAAGTCTTGGAATAATGACTTAAATCCAAAGTATGGAATGTCAGACTATTGTGTTGAAGAGATTAATAGTTTAGAGAAGGTTTTTGTCGGTAAGTAATTTTAAGTTTTACTTTTCCTATTTCTCAAACTATAGAATTAATACATTTTCTTTAAACCACATTAATGGCAAAAAAAAGTGCTGTTTTACCATGAACATCACTAAACCTCTGGGCATCTCTTTAATATTACCTTATTTACAAGAACTAACGAGTGTGTGAAAACAAGTACAGTTTGTCATAATAATATATAATAAATATGAAAAGCAATAATTTATATTATTTTTAGAAGAAAAAAATTTGATACATGTTTTTTGTATTGAATTGTCTGAGAATTACTTATTTATTTTATACTAATATCCATTATAGGTTGTGTTGTATTCATATGTGATTTTCACAGAGAACAAGCGTGGGACCGTTGGCTGAAAACAAAATCTAATGGCTTAACACAAGATAGGTTAAAGATCTTATGCTTACTTAGAATGATAGCACGTGCAGACACAGTTGAGATATGTGAAGCAGAAATAAATAATTTGAAAAACTGTTTTTATTGGATAAATAACAAAGCTCTAAGAGAATATTTATCAAGATATTGGTTACCAATAAAGCATGTAAGTTTTTATTTGTTGAGATTTGAGAGCTGAATGAAACCTGCAAATGGAAAACTGTATAATTTTTGTTTGCTTTTTTTATCTCTATAAGGTATATGGGCCACTACAATTAAGGCAGATATTAAATACTTTAATTACTCTTTATAATTAGCGTTAAGTGAAAGCATATCGTCAGACTCGTTTATTGGTAAATTGTAATACAAATAATGGTGTAGAGCGACAACACAACACATTAAAGCATAAGTATCTTCTAAATCACAGAAATAGTTCCCTTAGTGGAATGTTATCTGTAGTGATTGACGATTTTCTTTCTGATAAGTATGAGAGGTTTGTTAAAGTTAGCTATTTTGCACAGTTTTCCGTTTTATAAAAATTAGTTTAATTATGCAGCAATTAAACTATTTTCTAATATACATACTTTGCAATTTATTTGTTTTTATAGCTATATAGACAACAATAGATTAATGAGCTCTAAATACATGAGTTATTCGGATGATATTGATGATTGGATGATAGATCGGCCTCGATTAATGGTGAAGCATTGCCTGTTAAAGAAATCACTTGCTGAGAATTTAGACATAACAGCACTTAAAATTGAAGAATCTGGAAAATTCTCATTGCGATATTATAAAGACAATAAAGAATGAAATTATGTAGTAACTTTTTGAAATGAAGACAACATGCCTAGTTGTACCTGCATGAATTGAAAAAACTCTTGTTATCCTTGTAAGCATTTCTTTGTCATTTTCAAACACTATCCTTGTTGGAATTGGGAATCAATATCACCTTTATACCGAATGTCTCCATATCTAAATATTGATATTGATTTTGATCTTGATAACGCAAAAGTTAAAGGATGTAATGATAAACTCAGTACAACAACATATTCCAGTGTAACTACTAAAGAGCCAAATAAAGTGAGTGAAGCATCGGTTAAGGCTGATACTCAAAATGTAAGCAACACAGGAAGGAAATCTATAACAGGTGAATCCATTAGAAGCCTCTTGTGTGACTTACGAAGTCTGAGTTTTTTAATTGATCATGATACTGAGCTTCTTGAAAATACATATAAAGAGTTGAACAACCTCATCACAAGTCTGAAAAGTGCTGTACCTAAAGAGAGTTGTTTGCCTCTACTACCCAATAAAATTAAAAAAATATCTAAACCAAAATGCTCCATTAAGTATCATAAGCTGCCAGCACCTAAAAAAAAGAGTATGCAATTTAAACGTGTTGGGGAAAAAAAGGATAAATTATTGGCAGCTTCCAAAATTGAAATAACGTTGAACCCAGAAAAAAAAAATGTAGAAACTGAAGTTATAAATAATAATTTGATTGACTATGAAAACATATTAGAGTTTGTAGATAACAACATAGTCATTTTCAGTGATGATGAAAGTGATACAGATAAAAAAAATGATTCAGATGAAAAAAACTGTATAAGTAAAGTAAATCTCAGTGAGAGTGACTTTTCAGATATATTAAACAATGAATGGCTTTCTGACAATGTTATAAATATATTTCAAAACATGATAAAAGACCAATTCAAAGAAGTAAGTGGCCTTCAAGACACTGTGCTTGGACAAAATCTTGCTTTTAGTACGCATATAAATAAACCATTTGTTCAAGTTTTGCATAATGGTTGTAATCACTGGGTAGCAATTTCAACATATGGTTGTAAACCTGGTGAGGTTTTTTTGATGGACAGTCTGTTTCATGGTAAAATTGCAAATCATACAATAGAACAGATATGTGCCATCATGAAATGCACATATGAGAAGTTAAATGTTTGTGTATTACCAGTGCAACAACAGTCAAATGGTGAAGATTGTGGTGTCTTTTCTATTGCTTTTGTTTATCATATTGTAAGTACAAGATCAAAACCAGACAATGTAACATTTTCTATACCAGAGATGAGGTCACATATGTTAAATTGCATTAAAGTTAATAAAGTTTCTTCTTTTCCTCAATCGCTAGCAAGTTGCAAAAGGTGTTTTCAAAAAGAGATTTTTATTGGACTGTTTTGCAGTTGTAGAATGCCATGGAATCCCATAGAAAATAGAAATAACAATAATCAAATGGCGCAGTGTTCTCGGTGTAAACAGTGGTTCCACAAAATGTGTGAAAACATTCCTGATTTTGTCTTCTTTAAAAAGAACCGTAGATTACCATGGTTTTGTTATTGTTGTGCAAGTGCGGTTTCATAATTATTTATTCTCTATTAAATTATACTATTCTTTGCTTTATTTAAAAAAGATTTTTTTTTAATTCAACGGCTTTATTCAACATATTTTAGTTCTTACAATTAATCATAACAAAATAATATATTCATTTGAGTTTTTTAACAGTTTAACTTTTTAATAATGTGTTTTCATTAATTAAAATTGAATATTTTAAAGTTTAATTTTAATTAAGTTTTTTGGATTATTTTAAATTTTAATCTTTACTATTATACTGATTTTTTTTAGCCTAATGTTGATATATGGTTTTAATGTTGATATATGGTTTTAATTTAGTAAATTTTTATGATTTGAAATTTACTTAATTGATCATTAGCCAACAGTTTAGAAAAACAAGTCGAACTCAACTCTATTGCGGTAAGAGCAATTGTGTTTACTTCTTTACATTAGAAAACTAATTATTGCTTTTTGTCAAGTTTTTGGAATTTTATGTTACAATTTTTTATAATAAAAATAGTGATAATAATTTAAATTATAGTCAAAAGTACAAGTTTTATACCAAAAGTATAAATCTTTCAGTAGATGTCAGTTCTTACAATAGAAGTCAAAAGTAAATCGCTAGTTTTGTACTATAACTATAAATCTTACACTAGAAGTCAAAAGTACAACGCTAGTTTTATACTAAAGGTATAAATCTTACACTAGAAGCCAAAAGTACAACGCTAGTCTTATACTATAAGTATAAATCTTACACTAGAAGCCAAAAGTACATCGCTGGTTTTATACTAAAGGTATAAATCTTACACTAGAAGTCAAAAGTACATCGCTGGTTTTATACTAAAGGTATAAATCTTACACTAGAAGTCAAAAGTACAACGCTAGTTTTATACTAAAGGTATAAATCTTACACTAGAAGTCAAAAGTACATCGCTAGTTTTATACTAAAGGTATAAATCTTACACTAGAAGCCAAAAGTACAACGCTAGTCTTATACTATAAGTATTAATCTTACACTAGAAGTCAAAAGTACAACGCTGGTTTTATACTATAGGTATAAATCTTACACTAAAAGTCAAAAGTACAACGCTGGTTTTATACTAAAGGTATAAATCTTACACTAGAAGTCAAAAGTACATCGCTAGTTTTATACTATAAGTATAAATCTTACACTAGAAGCCAAAAGTACATCGCTGGTTTTATAGTAAAGGTATAAATCTTACACTAGAAGTCAAAAGTACAACGCTAGTTTTATACTAAAGGTATAAATCTTACACTAGAAGCCAAAAGTACATCGCTGGTTTTATACTAAAGGTATAAATCTTACACTAGAAGTCAAAAGTACATCGCTAGTTTTATACTTTAACTATTAATCTTACACTAGAAGTCAAAAGTACAACGCTAGTTTTATACTAAAGGTATAAGTCTTACAATAGAAGTCAAAAGTAAATCGCTAGTTTTATACTAAAGGTATAAATCTTACACTAGAAGCCAAAAGTACAACGCTAGTCTTATACTATAAGTATTAATCTTACACTAGAAGTCAAAAGTACAACGCAAGATTTCAATCGAAAAAATTAGAATAGAAGTCACTAGTTTTACACAAACTATTACTACGGCGACCGAATCAATTTTGAAAACGAGGCGTACTTTTGACTTCTACTATATATTGCTAACCGTTTTGCTGTAGCACAAGTTTAAGATTCATGTTGTTATTGTTGTATTAGGCCCTATTGTTGTTAGTATTGTTTTAGAGATTTATTATCAACTATTAATAAATTATAAAGTCTATCGTAAATAATAAATAGGAAAGAAAATGAAATCTAAAAAAACAAATAAACAAAATGTTAGCAGAAGAAAAAAGAGAGCATGGAATAGCATAGTTCCAAAGAATGTTAAAGTTTTTGATAATTCTTGTATCAAATCTATATGTTCAAGTGAAAGGAAACTTTCTTCAAAAATAAAAACTAAATTTTCTACTAATTCTTCTCCACAAACAGAAGAATATTTTATTATTGTGCATTTTTACCTACTCAAAAGCATTTTGCAAACTCTTGTATGTCCAGAATGTTTTTGTAACATTGTTGTAAAAGATGATATTTTAAAACGACAAGGATTCTCTCATGTTCTAACAATAAACTGTAATAATTGTTTATGGAATAAAGGAATTAATACTTCCCCAGAGATAAAGAAGAAAGAGGAAACTAAAGGTCGAAATACATACGAGGTAAATGTACGTTCTGTAATAGCTTTCCGTGAAATTGGCTGTGGTTTTTCATCAATAAGTACGTTTGCATCGTTTGAACTTTAAATGTTTGTCAAAAAATGGATTTTGTCGTATCAACAAAAAAGTTATGAAAGCTTATAAGAATGCTGCCACAGATAGCATGCAAACAGCAGCAAAGGAAGCTCCTCAAATTGAAACTGTCAAAGGTATTCCATGTGTTCGGATATCAATTGATGGATCATGGCAAAAGCGTGGTCATTCATCTTTGCATGGGGTGATCACTGCTATAGCAATAGACAAATGTTTTTTGATATAGAAATAAAATCAAGACATTGCTATGGTTGCAGAATGTGGATAGGAAAAAAAAATACAGCTGAATATAATCATTGGAAAGTTAACCATTACTGCCAAATTAACCATAATGGGTCATCAGGTGCAATGGAATCAGCTGGAGCAGTTGACATATTTAAGCAGTCTGTTTTAAAGAACACTCTTATTTATAAGGAATACTTAGGAGATGGTGATACAAGTTCTTTTATGGATGTAGTAAAAGCCAACCCATATAGTGAATATGATATAATGCCAATAAAGTTGGAGTGCATTGCTCATGTCCAAAAACGATTAGGTACTCGATTGCGTAACATTGTCAAGTCTCATAAAGGCACTAAAACACCTCTCTCAG